GACATTTTTTGATATCATGTATGGTTTGGCTGTGCAGATTTTAAGATGAGTTTGTTTCTGCCATTTTACTGCCAAATGATTCTACCCTACAAAATCTTCAGATGATTCAATTGTTTTCTGCAGTTTGAAGTTTCTGATGACTTCCTATCACATTTTCATATGTTATGCAGGTAATTTCAGCTTTTTTCATTCAGCAAAAGCATTCCCACTTTGATGTTTCTCCGAAACAGCTTTTTCTAGTTACATTTAAAATAAGAAAAAAACAATTATACAATGTCTTATTTCAAGCGCATTTTATCTAATTATCTTATTTTAAGAGTAAAGACACTTATTCAATTGGCAGATCATTTTATTTACCTGCTGAAATTGGGGGTAAATACACTTAATTTAAAAGAGTTGACTTATTTCTAGATTGTTTTTGCAGTGCGGATTAGCGTTCATGTTGTCTGACACAGTACTGGCTAACCCACAAAACTGTCCCAACAAAGTTGGAAACATGAAGCTGTCCCAAATGTCTTGTTATACTGAAACCTTAATGATTTAGTTAACTAAAACCTATAGGCAACATCCATACACACACAAACTTTGACACAATGCAAAGTGAATAGCAATGTCCTTCTGGAAACTGCTGAACCCTGATTGGTTCATTGGAGTGCAATGACTTGGGTGTTATGTGGTGTACCTCACAGCACTACAGCTGATGCTTTGCACCAGGCTTGGATGTAGCTGTTTGGACTTTCACACCCATTCTGTGAAGCTTTGTGTACCCTAATTTCCCGACATCCTTGGATCCTACATGGTGTTTTGTTTTAAACAGTTTACGCATTTTTTTTATTTTTCAACAGTGTATTAACTATAATATATTTCTGAGCAGAGGAGAGACATGCAGCAAAGGTAAAAGGTTTGGGAATCAAACCCATGACAGCCACATTAGGCAAGGCAAATGTATTTGTATAGCACAATTCAGTACAAAGACAATGCAAAGTGCTTAACATGATTAAAATACAGGAAGATAAAACAGAATCAAAGCAAGTAGGAAAAAAAAGAAATAAATAAAATAAAAAATGCAGAAACAAAAAAGAATATTAAAAACAGTTGGACTAAAGAAAATATGTTTTAGTTGAACTGTTTAACTAGAAGGCAATCCTAAACAAATGTGTTTTTAGTCTTGATTTAAAGGAACTCAGGCTTTCCGCACTTTTACAGTTTTCTGGAAGTTTGTTCCAGATAAGTGGAGCATAGGAACTAAATGCTGCTTCTCCATGTTTAGTTCTGGTTCTAGGTATGCAGAGCAGGCTGGAGCCAGAAGACCTGAGTGGTCTGGAGGGTTGATACACTGACAGCAAGTCTGTGATGTATTTGGGTACTAAGCCATTCAGAGATTTATAGACTAACAGAAGTATTTTAAAGTCTATTCTTTGAGATACAGGGAGCCAGTGTAAGGACTTTAGAACTGGGGTGATGTGCTCTACTTTCTTAGTCTTAGTGAGGACACGGGCAGCAGCGTTCTGGATCAGCTGCAGCTGTCTGATCCACTTTTTAGGCAGACCTGTGAAAACACTGTTGCAGTAATCAATTCGACTAAAAATAAACGCACGAATAAGGTCTAAAGGGCTGATATATACTGAGAAACCAGGTCGTCTGCCTGTATGTCGCAGTGAACGCAAATGTGTCCCCGCCTCTTCCGCAGACACTCTGGTGCACCTCTCCAAAAGACAGGAGGCCTCTGATTGGTCAAATCTTAATCCGCTCTACACTGCATATTTCGTGTTTGGTACCTTACTGGCTTGTTTTGTTTGTATTACCGCCATTGTGGAAAACGACTTGTGAAGATGGACCAGCTTGAAGAGCGAGGTGTGCAAGAATGATGGGACCCTTTTTCCACCTGGATCCCTGCTCTTTTTCGCCCTCATGTCCCTTCATGTCGCACAAACTTGCCCCCACGTCCTCACCGCCTCGGCCGTATCTAGACCCACAGCTAGTTCATGATTGTCCCTCTTGCGTTGTGGTGTGGAATAACATGGCGCAAACAACGCTTCAATATTGGGCATAAATCAAAAATATCACCTATAAGCTCACTGTGACACACTGCTGATGGAGGATAACCTGCCCTTAAGGCCTCCATAGAAGGGCTCCTCTCATAACTCCATAACACCATAACCACACCCTGTTAGCTGAGTAGCTGCTGTTCCCCATAACTTTCGCTTTACAATATTAGCAGTTTTGTCTTGTATCGGCAAATAGTGCACACAATGTCACTCCCTCCATTTGCAATCCATTCCTGTTTTGTTGGATTTGATGTTAAAAGTTTATTTTTTGTGTAACGTTAGTTATTGTGTAATTTCTAACATGTAAATGGGAGAGAGAGCAATAATGGTTTTAAAAATCTGCCAAACAATCTGCATCAGCCTTAAGAAACGTGCACCAGTCTATATCTAATGCAAATAAAATAACATGGAAAATATAACTAAGGTTTTTACCAGCCTTGGAGGGAGGACATTTAATGAATGGGCTGAATCCACAGGTTGCATCCTGTCTGTTTTCTCTGACTCATTCTTTCAAAGGTTTTTTAGTGATTTGAAGGGATGACTCAGTACTTTTTGAAAACTTTGTTTATAGATAAAATTATTTCTAAAAGTACAAGTATAAAACTACGCATGAACTGATTTGTGGGAATTGGATTCTTTTTTAAATTTTGCAGTCAGGGGCGTGCTTTGGTGGCGCAGTGGTTGGTGCACATGACCCATGTATGGAGGCCTTAGTCCTCGATGCGGGCGATCAAGGTTCAAATCTGGCCTTTGGTCCTTTCATGCATGTCTCGCCCCCTTTCCTGTCTACTGTCTATAAAAATGAGCCATTAGTGCTGTAAAATCTAAAAAAAAATAAAATAAAATTACTGTCAGAGATAAAGAGGTTTACCAACTTTAAATGACTTTGAACTTTTTTATGTTTTAATTTGTCAGCATCGGAGCCCAACCTGAAGGTGAAGCACAAGCTGAAGAATCACCTCAAAACCAGAAAGAGTCCCCTCACCCGCAAGGAAAGCGCCCCGCCCACCATAAAGCACAGAACCCCGGACGCCCTTGGTAAGAGCACACATGCAAACACTACAATGGAAGCCATACCGTTGCTTTAATATTTGTGTCTGAGGATTTATTTATATGATGTCTGATGGTACGACTCCAAACCATAATCGTCTCCCTAACGGACCCACTGTATGTCTCAGCAGACTCTTCCCCCAGCAGCAGCAGCACTCCCGTCTCTGGTTGTAGTTCTCCTAATGACAGTCTGCCCAACGAGAACGGACTGCTGCCATCTGCAGGCGGCCCTTTGCATGAGGTCAGCAAAAAAACACACACACACAGATTTACAAAAAGCTGCTGCTTGAAGGTTTGATGGAAAACTGATCCCGAAAATATGTCGATGTGCAATGCAGCTGACAAGAGAAAAATTGAAGCAATTAAGAATATAGTTTTTCATCAGATAGACAATTTTTTAAGTTATAAACACATACAACAGGCTGTGATTGAGGTGAGAAGCTGCTCTGCAAACATTAACTTTCAGTAATGACATGTTTAAAAGAGCGACACAAGAGCTTGTTTGTCATCTGGTTGTGCATTATTGATTTAATCATGGAAAGTCGTCCTCTGTTACACCTGCTTTGGTGTCTGACTCATCAGCTGTTGTGTCGGGTGTCAAGTCTGGCAAAGTCAGAGATAAAGGTTTCATCAGTCTGTGCTGCCAGTCTTTAAAATGCAGAGCGTCAACAGTTTCCAAACAATTACATTTGTGGTAACAGTTAGGAAGATATTTAACAAAATCTAGAAGCAGATGTAGCGTCCATTATTCCCATCATACAGCAGTGCTGATCTGAAATGTTTGGTACTTTCAGGCTCACAAGCTGCTGCTTAGAGATGGAAACTTGTCTAACTTCACCATCCAGAATCCGTCCACTCTACCCACCATCACACTTGGACTGCCAGCCAACCAAAGGGTAGAAATCTGCTTTATCATAATTGTTTATATATGTTTATACACTTCAGTTGAGTTGTTATCCTTTTTCTCTGTTGATGAGATGTTTGAGCATCTTCCAAACTTAATGGCATCCCGGCTACAGCATCTTCTTAAAATATCACACATCAACATTTTTTAAAGATGTCTAATGCTTCGATCAGAAAAGATGTAGGTCTTATGGGAAAAATATGAAGATTGTGGGAAAGGGCCTCATATTTATTATCCAGTATGGTGGAGGATCTGTAGTGCTGTGGGCTAGACCATCTTACAAAAGCCCACTGAACCTGGTTTTAATGCATGTAAAAGTTCCGCCAAAGCGATCAATTAAAGCAATGATAATAACGCCCACCCCCAAGAAGAGTGGTCAAATTAGGAGAACAATTGAGAACATGAAGGAAGTTAAGACATATTTTTGGACGGAAGAATTCTCAGATATGTCCATTTTTTCCCCCTTTTTTCTATTTGAACATCTTGAATTTTCTGCCATGCTTTTCTCTACAATAGTTGTTCAGCTGAGTTCACTTAAAATTACAAAAAAAATTTACATTACTAGATTTCTTAAAGGTTTATCTTATCCATTTCCCTTCCTGCATAGAGGGCTGAATATACCGTATTTCTAAGCTTTTTAACCCATTATGTCTTAAAGTTTCTTCAAAGCATCATTTAAAATCTCTTATGAGTTCCTAAATGAATATGAAATGTATCTCCCTAATATCCTGTTTTTAAAAGGAAGTGTGATGATGTCAAAGCTGTGTTTATGTGATGCTGACTTGGAGATTTTCAGTGTCTTTAAATTAAAATGTCATTGGCCTTAACATCTGTTTCAATCGCTTTATCATGACTTGGACTTTTGTGCAGCAATGCAAAAAATTGAAATCTAAATAAGTAATTTTTCCTTCAAATTTGTGCATTTTGTCTTGAATTGAGGAGGTAAGTGAGATACTTACATTTAAGATAAGAAAAAGCTACAGTATTGTCTTATTACAAGTGCATATTATCTAATTATCTTATTTTAGGAGTAAAAATACTCATTCAATTGGCAAATCATCATATTTATCTAATAAAATTAAGGGTAAATACACCTGATTTAAGACATTTTTACTCATTTGTAGATTGTTTTTGCAGTGTGTCAGACCTAATTTCCTGTTTGACAATATGAATGTCTATGTGGTACTTTCTTCATTCTAAAATCGATCGCTGCTCATTTCCAGCTTTTCAACCAAGGTGTTCACATGTGTTTCAGGCTGAAGTGGAGCTGCCCTCACTGAAAGTCGGCCATATTCCTGTGGTCACCGCCGGGGGCTCGCCCGTCTTCCTCCCCCTCAGCAGAGACGATCAAGCAGGGCAGATGAACCCACACTTACCGGTTATCATCCTGGAGCCTTCTGGACTCATGCGCACCCTGGGTGGGGAGACACTCACACAAACAGACAGACAGGGCCAAACATCTTTAGAAATATTTCTTATTTTCACTGTCCTTTTTCGCATTTCTTTATTTTTCTGAGAGTCTGTGCCTTTTTCCTCCCTCCAAAAAGGATCCATTATCTATTGAAAGGGAAAAACAAATTCCCATGATCCCTTTTTCTCCTCTATTCACTTAAAAGTGGACATGCTGGGCTTTTCCTTGTTTAACCTTAGGAGTGTTTGGTGCCACACGGTTCAGTCTGCATTTTTGTGATGCTCTGGATATGGACAGTGTGAAGAATATAAAAGATTATTTGTGTTTTCAGACTTTTTTTTTTTTTTTTCTTTCCATCACCCTTCCCTGTTTCTTTCCTTTCATGTTTTCCTTTTTACTAGCTTTATGTCGTTCCTTTCATCTTTTTTCCATCCTTGTTTCCTACATATGTTTCCTTCGTCCTTCTTTTCTTGAGCCCTTCCTTCCTAATTTCTATCCCCCTGTTATTCTTTCCTTCCTATTTGGTATCATCCCTCGTTTCTGAACTGCTTCAGTGACCGGTTCTCTTACTGTGCATTACTGTCTTTCCTATTTGGAGGAATATAAAAAACAAACAGTACTCTGTGATATGTCATTTGTGCCTGAGGAAAAGGACGTCAGGTTAATAGTAATAAATGACCAGTTTAACAACTAATCATAATTTAAGTTCAAGGAGGCCACAGTGGTTTTCTCACTGAATTAATCTACTTGAATTAAAAATAAAAAGGTTTAACAGTTTCCATCATGTGGGCTGATGCTTCTCACATAAAAGCTGGTTTATTTTTAAGTCCCATGTTTATTTTCTATGCTTCCTCATACATGTTTCAAGCTTTGCAGCTTTGCAATATTACATGCTAAGGTACATAATAACACAACTCTAAATTATCACATTCTTAAACTGTGCAGCACCAATTTGTAAAGTTAGAGCACCACCAAGTGGTTATTTTTGGAATGAATGTCTTGCATCAGCTCTATCGGTTCACCCCTCTATTTTATTGCTCATAAATGTTTTTTTATCAGTGATATGCTGTTAAACTCATATTGATCACTTAGATATTATAAGGTATCCTGGTTTTGTTGATAATTACTTATTTTTGCTTTTCCCACTCTGTCTCACCAGTTCCAGGCCTCGATCCCGTCCCTCTGCAGTTTGCCCCGCAGTTAGATCGCCTTTCTCCTGGAGGCATTCAGACCCGTAAGCCCTTAAGCAGAACCCGCTCCGAGCCCCTTCCTCAGAGCCCTCGAGCTCTTCACAACCATCTCGTCCAACAGCAGCACAATGCACAGCTGCTGGAGAGGCTCAAACAGCAGACTCACCTGGGAAAGGTACTCATTCTGAACTACAGTTTTCCAAATCTGTGAAATGAAAAATGTGTTTAAATAGATTCTTATCTTAAAATGTTCTCAGTCTGTCATGATGAAACCAAAGTTTTCACTTAGTTTTATCGAGATTTCATGTTTTAGACCAGAGGTCACGGATAAGCAAACCGCGGCCCGGAGCCGGACCCACCTGCTGGCTAATCTGGACCCAACCTTATTTAATACATATATAAAATATTGCATGTTGTCTGACAACAGTGTCTAACTTCACTTGCACATGATACAAATAATCCAATGAGCTGCTGTCAGGCTGGGTTGCTGCTGCTGCTACTTTTAGACAGAGCAGGCAAACCTGTGGCAAGCTGCACATTTAGAGGATGTGTGGCTCAGCCTGCTGCTGTTAAGCAGGATTCTCCACCATGAACTTAATCAGAAATTAATATGGATCCAGGCTCAAAATGAGCACCTTGATATGTGCTTTAGAATGGCTTTGTCTCCATTCAAACCAGGTTTAAATCTTTGCAGGGCAGAATAAAGCCCACTGCTCTCATTAAGACAGAAAAAACAAAGATAAAATAAAAAACGGTCAGTTCAGGTGTTTTATGAAATATGTGAATAAGGAAATTGTCTGTATACCAAACTGAACGATTGATGTTCTCTACTTAAAAAAACACTTTAGATTTACCTAAAACATCAATGTATAACATTGGATGCATAAAAACTTATTTTTATTTCAGTGTCAAATTCTCCGGACTGGTTGATGATTTCCTTTATTTGGACCACGCTGATTTTTAATTGGTTACCCCTGAGTTAGACCAACACAAGTTGCCGTATGATGAGAAAGTTTCGGCTTTTTATGAAAATGTGCATAAGCTAGAATATTCTGTCTCCCATGAGTCTTTGTTATATAGAACCACCTGATGCTGAAGTATAATGTGTAGATTTTAAAGGTGAGCTTCCACATGCAGACACTTCTCTTTCTGGTCATACCTGATAGTAAAACAGCTCAAGATCATTCCGATTAGCAAATAATTTTACTAGCACGCTTTAAGCTCTCACTTCAGGTTCTTTTTAGGATTTAGGGAATTTTAACAGACTTGTAGATGACTGCATGGATCTAAATGAGTTTGTTCTGGCTGTTTATCTCTGCTGTATTCCAAGAAGGTGAACCCGCTGCCACAACAAGTCTTTTTTGGCATCTGACAGGTTTCCTTCCTGAACTTTTCCTGGATTTAGCTTCATCTATCTTTCCTCTCACTGTTTCTGTTTTGGATCTTAATGTCATAAATTGTTTTTCCTCCTCCTGCTCTACTTAGTATTTTTCCAACAAACAATCCCTAATGACTAATTATTCTTTGTAAAAAAATAAAAAAAAATAAAAAAGATGTCCAACACGCCCACGCATATTCACCCCTAAGGGCAATTTAGTGACATCAATTAACCTAATAGTCGTGTTTTTGGACTGTGGGAGGAATCCAGACCCAGAGAGTATCTACGCATGCACAGGGAAAACATGCAAACTCAGTGCACACTGGAAAAACGATCTAGAAGTTAATAAAACTTTCTAAAATTAAGTGTATTTACCCTTTATTTGTATAGGTAAATGAGATAATTTGCCAATGGAATTAGTATTTTTACTTTTAAAATAAGATAATTAGATAATATGCACTTGAAATAAGAGAATGCAATTGTGTTTTCTTTTTAAGTGTAAATTGTCTTGTTCTATAGCAAAATGTCTCTTTTATCTCCTCAATCCAAGAACAAATGATCTTATTTTAAGAGAAATTTACATGTCAAGATTTTAATCTTTTGCAAAGCAGAAATTTGGGTATAAAACCTAGAATCTTGCATCAAACTGGGCACCATGCAGCTCAGGATCTTCATACTGTACGTTGAGCATTTTATCTCTTTGTTCTATTTGAACTTCTCAAATTTGCTGCCATGCCTCCATATTTAAATTCTCTCCAATTCCTGCATTATTAAGTCAGAATTGATTAAACAGAAAATCCTGTTTGATGAAGATCAGCAGAATCTTCTGCATCGATGATTCTTAATCTGCTTCATTTCATTATTAATCTTTGGGTTGCATCTATTTGCAGCTGATGTCTAAGTCCAGCGAGAAGCCAAGACTTCATCAAATCCCATCTGAGGAAATGGACTCAGAGGACGGCGGGACGTCCCCCACTGAGACCAGTTATCACAGCAGAGTGCGAGCGGAGTCGCTGAGAGAGGTGGAGCCAGCGGGATCCAAGGCCCGTGACGAGCAAATCAATCTACAACATGCTCTCATACTTAACCAGGTTTGGGAAAAATCACACACTGTTTAGTTTGTCCTCTAGATGGCGACATAACTCTTAAAAGGTCGTCTCTGCGCATTACTGAGCCTCATCATAGTAACCCTCCCTTTAAAACTACACATCTAAAGCTGAATGAACACAGTTCTTCACGTGTTACATTGATTTGATCAGAGTTTGTTTTTGTTTCACCCCTTTTAGTCGCTGCTGTATGAGCAGCAGAAGCAGCTGCAGCAGATGCATCAACAAATGGAGACCCTGGCTGTGCCTGTGTTTCGTAGCAGCGGAGGGGCAGCCTGTGGGTTGGGCGTCCACCCGGCCCTGTCGCGTACTCGCTCTTCCCCCGCCTCCACCTCGCTCACCGCACCGGAGAATCCCCTCAGCCGGACAACGCAGGAAACGGCCAGCAAACCCCGCTTCACCACCGGTGAGTCAGATGTCCTGATGGCGTTTGATGTGGAGTCAGAACTTGTATTTACTATAAAAATAAAATGTAAACATTCATTTTTTATGTTAAATTTCACCCTAACAAATCTCTAAAATCAGAACTGATCATCCAAATGAATCGCCTGTTTTCTGTCCATACGTGTACCAGTAAAATGAGTGCATTGAACTATAGATTGGGACGCCTCAGTACCACATCTGATTTATACCATTTCCTTTTTTTTGTGACTGAAACAACTAGTTTAGATATTTTGTTTTCAGGTCGATGTGTAATTGTGGTGTTGATTAAAATATAAAGTGACACAAAGTTTCATTTCTTTGAAATACTTTTCAAAATAGAAAAGACAGAAGTAAAAGTTATGCAAGGAAGCAAAATCTATGTTGATCTTTATTCTAGTTAGAAAATAGCTGCCAAGAATTACAACCACTTATTTTTATTGGCACCATCTGATGTCAGAAAACAACAAAATATAAAATAGCTGGATCTGTAACAAACCAGGCTGAACAAGGACCAAAGTTCATGTTATTACTTCATATAATCACTCACACTAAATCTGGTTCTGCTTGAGGTTCCTTCCTGTTAAAAGATATTTTTTTCCTCTCCACTGTCGCTGCAAGCATGCTTAGTGTCAGGGATTGCCTTTGAGTCAATGAGTCGATGCAACCAACTGGTTTTCCTTAGATAGAAAACTTTGAATCAATTTGACTGTATGATCTGGTGAACTGTAAAGTGCCTCGAGATGACATGTGAATAAACTAGGGCTGTCAAACGATTAAAATTTTTAATCTAATTAATCACAAGGTTTCTTGAATTAATTTTGATGAATCTCTAGCCTAAATATTATTGAAAAATACACATTTTCTGTGGCAACTTAGCCATTGCTTTTTTTTTTTTAGCAAATACAGGATGGGTGAATGGAACGTTTTTCGTTTAGAACAAACAGCTTGACTTTTAAACAATTACATGAGGTCATTTTACCTATTAGCTATTCATCTTTTAGCCAGTTGTTAAGGCAAACTAGCTGGTTAACATTTTCCAAATGTTAAGCGGACTGTTACTTAATGCCCTGCGTTCGGTGAGGGTGGTCTGACGCATGCGTGTCGTAACAGCTGAAGTTGATGCCCCAACAAAGGAATGCTTGGCATTAAGATAATATTTAAGACTCGAAGTGCTTCGGTGAAACGAGTCCTTCTCATAGTGTGAGCAAACTACAACATGTTTATTTATTGTCCCGTCTTTGTTTTTTTTATTCACGAACTGTCCATCCAGCCAGCCAACGGGTTCTTCTAATTCCTCCATCTCGCTCTTGTCGGACAATTGAATTGTGGGTAAAACAGGGCGTTAATGCGTAAAAAAAGATATTGCGGTAATTCCAGAAATTAATCATCTCGTGTTAACGCGTTAATTTTGACAGCCCTAGAATAAACTGAATTGAACTTATTATAGTGAGGAGGAAGCTAAGGTAGGGGGACAAACAAATCTCCAAAGTTTTGTGTTAGAGAAGCTGCAATTTTGTTGTCACTGTAAAGATGTCATTTTAAAATGGGGCGGAGCGATACGGCTTAAAAATCACATTTGAGATTCTTTCATATCAAGTCTGTTCCATTAGTTTTCTCCCTTACGTTTAATGATATAGAAATGGCAAATGATAATTATTACTTCCAAAAACTGCCTTTTATTTCAGTCATCCCCTCTGGGAGGTGAGCTTCATCCAAAGTAATAAATACATTAATTCATCGATCCATTAGTGCATTCAGCATTTTTTTTTCTAACAATTGTTATCACTGTGTCATTTTCTACCACATAAATAGAGGACGAGAAAAGCGAAATCTGCTTCATAAGTCAGCCCAAAAAATTAGCAGCACATCTCATTTTGACTAATGTCAAAATAATCATTATAAACTTTTAAAAAACTGTCAGTCGAACTTCAACAAATAATGATGATATATACTGTGTGTGACTGGGAGTTTTAGACAGTAATCTAGATGATCAGTTATTAATAAACATAACTCTGAACAATGGAGGCCAGAGGAGTTTACTGATGGAAAAAATCCAGATTTTCCAAATATTCAGAGAACATTGATTCATTGATAAATTAATCAATTGTCTGGCCCTAGTTTGTAGTATTTTCTACCAACTTCAGCCAAAGCTTTTCCCATACCGGTTATTAAACCAAAGTAAATGATCAAAACCATGTAAATCCTGGGCTTTTTATTGAAGTGAATGCAGTCGTTGAAAGTTGGTCTGGTCTTTTCTTCAAGTTGAAGTAGAGAGACAAGATATTGCAGAATACAGATGTAATTTTATAAAAATATGTCTTCAGGGTTGGTGTACGACTCACAGATGCTAAAACACCAATGCACATGTGGAGATAACAGCAGCCACCCAGAGCATGCTGGGAGAATTCAGAGCATCTGGTCACGGCTGCAAGAGAGAGGCCTGAGAGGGCAGTGTGAGGTAAACCAACACACACCGCTGTGCTTTACTGAAGGCTTCTACATCTATCAGTCTGTAAATGTCTGTTTTACTTTTACTTCCCCTTCTTTTTAAGGCTGTTGCACACAGTGAAATGTCCTTGATCTATTTATGAAGAAAATATTGCGTTCTTGCAGACTATCCGAGGTCGTAAAGCCACTTTGGAGGAGCTGCAGTCGGTCCATACTGAGCGTCATGTGTTGCTGTACGGCACAAACCCCCTCAACAGGCTGAAACTGGACAACCGCAAACTGGCTGGTAGGTTCGGTCCTATTCTGGTCCATTTAAGTGTTTAAAGGGACTTCTGTATTTAAGGCTCTATATAAAAATGAAAGTATGTCATCTCTGCTAATAAAATCTATATTCATATGATGTCACTTCCTATTTTTACAGGAATCCTATCGCAAAGGATGTTTGTTATGCTGCCATGCGGGGGAGTCGGGGTAAGTGAAAACACGCGTCCCTAATGAATCAATACGCCTCGATTGTGGTGCTGATGAAAGGTGATATTGTTTTAAAGAAAGACAAAAAAAGTTAGGAAAGACTGGAATGAGGGAAGGACATCAAAGGGAGAAAGTAAGCAGACCGGGTCCGGCGCTGTCCTTCTCATGACGGCCCGTATCCAATCCTGACAAGTCGGACTAATGAAAGCAGCATGGCCATGACCGAGGATGAAAAATAGGCCTTGGATTTTCCCTGTTAGCCAGATGGGCAGCTGCAAGAGTTATTCCAAGACACACGAGAGGAAACGCAGAATAAATGCAATTATGAAAGACATACAGATAAGATGGTGATATGAAAGGTAATGTTCAATATTTTGCAGAGATCTCATGTGAAGATGTTATCAGCAGTAGTTCCCATAGTTACCTGCAAGTGACGGATCTGGTGTTACCTGATCCACTTAGATGTTGAATGTTTTCTGTTTCAGCTGTTTTAAATAGCTGGAGTCAGATGAAAAAGGCTTTCGTTTGTTTAGCTGTTAGCTCTCCACCTGTCTAAAGGATTTTCCTATAAAGTCAGTGGATTTGACAGGAAACCATTACTTCACTAAACCTCATTAAAAAAAAAAAGCAGCTGACCCTTTAAGTCAAATCAGAACCTGCGCTTAGTTTGTTATTGGATGGATGTTATATGAGGTTTCCTGGTTATAGATGAGTGTTAATTTAATTCAGTTACCTTTTACTGACGGACAGGTAGACAATGACACCATCTGGAATGAGTCGCATACCTCCACGGCGTCACGGATGGCAGCGGGCAGCGTCGTGGAGCTGACCTTCAGGGTGGCCAAAGGAGAACTCAAGGTCAGACTCAAAACATTTCGCTCATTCAAGAACACTGCATGAATCACCACTAGAAATACGTCTCATTTACTATTCTTATGTTTTCTGTTTATTTTACCAAAAAAATAAAAAATAACAATAGAGGAAGTTGGTGACAGTTTAAAAAGATGCGTATCTTTCATGTATAATTTGTGCTCTAACTGGGAGGGGCCGTATGAGCTTAACCTTTTTAGCAATACCTTATAACTCAAATCACCTGTTACCAAACAGGCTCTGTGTGTACATTACTGCAATTATTGCATTAAATAATACCTTCGTTAAGCTCTTTTATAGACTTTAGGCAGAAAGAACAACAATTATATTCATTTATCTAATCAAAATAAAAGAGAAATTAATACAACAGAAACTTTTCCCTATTTCTAGCTTACATTCATTGACTTCTTGTTTGGAAATATGTTGTGTATTAAAAACAAAGTTGAGGCCTTTTTGTGTAATAGATAAAAAATAACATTTTAGCTTTATTGACTATTTCTGGTGATTTAATATTGATCCTTAAGACGAGCTTTTAACTGTTTGACTTGTAAAGACTTACAGGTAAATATAAAATACTAAAGAAATAGGATTTGTTTATTGTTAAAGCTGCTGAGGAAGGTTTGATTGCAGCGTAATTATTGCAGTGTGATAAAAGTACTGCTTTAATTAGTAAGACAGTGGATAATACCGTCTTTCTCTCCTGCACAGAATGGCTTTGCTGTAGTCAGACCACCAGGACATCACGCAGACCCCTCCAATCCGATGTAAGTTTGGCCATAAATTTAACAAAATATTCAGCTGCTTCTTCCTTTTGAAACATATACATACTTTGCTATATTTACACCTTTTCATTGATCACATTGTGTGTATTACTCCATTTTAAAGCATATTAATAAGTCTGTGCTAATATCATCTTACAGCTCTGTTTTCACTTTTGGTTCGGCAGCTTGACTAACTAAGGAATTAAAAAGCAATGCAAGAAAAAATATGAGCTACTCTAAGAAATTGAATCATATTATGTCTGAGTTCAGAACTTTTAAAGGGAAAATTCTGCTATAAAGTTTTAAGCAGTTAATATATTTCCTGCAGTAAAAACGGTAGCTTTCTTTGTGCTTCGATTAATATTATTCCAGATTGGGTAGTCCCTTAATCTATAGCCTTAGAGGAATCTTATCAACCCCAACTCTATATTGGCAGTTTATTTTAATGCAATATCATTGCATTTAACTCCCACCATTTTTACATTGAGCAATTATTTACAGAGTTACACCATTTAACTTGTGATTCAATTTGGCGCTCTTGTTTAGCCTCTCACAGTCAAACCAAGCAAGATTTCTAGCAGGGCTGAACTTCTTTTTAAATTTTAAAGGTTATTTTATGTTTAAATAAGTTTAGGGTGACGCTTTAAATCAGGATTTCTTCCTTTGGATCTAAAAAATGTAAAGAGAACACTAATCAATTATCAAAATTGACAGATATGAAGGGCTTTTATTGTGATGCATTTTCAGCTCTAATAGATATATTTTGCAAAGCATTATTCAACAATGGCATTAAGTATCAACATAACCAATACATTTTAGTACTTTCACAAAACCAGATTGTAAAAAATCAAACTTGACTATTTTAGCAGATACAGCCAAAGGAAAGAGGAAAATGCTACATAAATACCTCTTTTTAAGTGGTGCAATAGTTGTAGAAAAAATCTATTACATCTTTTTGGGCCATGAAGTATTTACTAATCTTCTGCTTTTCTGCTTTCTCCTAATGTTTATCTCAGGGGCTTTTGTTATTTTAACTCTGTGGCCATTGCTGCCAAGCAGCTCCAGCAGAAGCTCAATGTCAGTAAGATCCTCATTGTAGACTGGGTAAGATTATTACTATTTATTCTTATAGGGAAATCAAAGGTGTCCTTCGATGTTACTCTTTATTTCATGAATTATTTCCTCAATAGGATGTTCACCATGGTAACGGCACCCAGGAGGTATTTTACAGCGACCCCAGCGTTCTCTACATTTCGCTTCATCGCTATGACGATGGGAACTTCTTTCCTGGCAGCGGCTCACCGGCTGAGGTGGGGGAAATCAGTCAGTGTATTGTAGAAAACCGTAATATTAAAGGAAAAACATCTGTTCTAATGGTGTTATTTGGGTTTAGGTTGGTTCTGGAGCCGGTAAGGGTTTCAATGTGAACGTAGCCTGGATCGGAGGACTGGAGCCGCCCATGGGAGATGCAGAGTACCTCGCTGCGTTCAGGTACACTTCAACCCTAATATACAGCAGTAACCATTCAAAATTTTTCCACTTTCCTTGATGGGCCCTTGGCTGGTGCTTGGCTAGTCCCCTACAGTTCCTTTTTCAACATCAATCTTTGTACTAAAATATTCTTTCTGTCATGAATTGAGGACATTACGATCTAGAGAGAAGCATCATCACCTGGTCAGACCCTGTAATTCAATGAAAGGGGGGAGTCAGAGTAAAAAAATATGCAAGAGGAGGTCACTCCAGTGGCTGGAAGTTGGAGGGGATATTGCTGGGAGTTGCAGGGAAGTGGGCTGCCATTCAGCAGGGAAGGGCCATTGTAAATGGCTGCTTCAGTATCGGTGCTATCATTTATCCGCCACCTGCTTGCCGCCTTTATTGATCAGTTCTGGAATAAGCCACACACATTTAATTAGAAGGATTTTCTTCATTTCCTTTACATCGAGCCACAACAAACACAGTCTGATCAGAGTCTCAGGTCCTCACTGCCTCTGACGCACTTGTGGCGTCATTAATAATCCTCCTCATTTGGAGAGCATATGGCTGCTCTCAGGGATTTTCCAACAACCTAAGATGTTTTTTCCCGGTAATGCGCTCCAGGACTTGTGTGCGATGGATTGCGGACGTCTAGCTTCCTGATTGTGGGTCGGGTAATTGTCATCGGTGGGTGTTTAACACCAATAAAGTTTCAGCTTTGTGGTTTTTTTGGTCGTCTGCGACATCAAACCTTGGGGAAACTGGGGCAGCTGTGTGGTTACTGGAAAATGGCAGCAATAGACAGACCCACATGTGAATGCTTGTGTTCACAAACATTGCAAACAAACCAAATCTGTTTTCTCAGATTCTTCTTATGAGCCAAGATCTGTATGATGGTTTTGCTTTTATTGATTATATGTCAGAACTGTTTGTTCTCTCTGAGATCAAAGGAGGATTAATCAATGGGATAGCTTTTAGTGTCCTTGTAAAGCTAGTCTCAGCAGAAATGTTCTGCTCTGTTAGGACTGGCTCCATGTAAAACGAATCTGACCTACAGCTGTTCTTTGGGCTGCACTGGTAGAGAGACAGAGATTTTCCATGTGGTGGCGCTCCCACTGCCGAGTGTTTCTGAGACAGAGCAGATCACCTGTAATGACAGCAACAAGAAGTATTCAGTTTTCTATGTATTACTGGGCTGTTTTTCAAAAGATTATCAATCTATAAGATCAGTCTGTTAGCTGTTTACTGTAAGTGCAGTAATATTGATTTTATGGAGGCATATTGAATCAATTGGACTGGATGATCTGGTGAACTGTAAAGTTGTGTTGTGAATTTGTGCTATAGAAATAAACTGAATTAAACTGAATTGAATATTGGCTGAAAACTATGAGCCATGACCATTTTCGAATATTCATTACTCTAAAAATGCTGTATATTGGTCATTTTTTCTACAGATGCACAGTTTTTTTATATTGTTAGAACACTTTACAGTACAGTATTTTATTGTTTATCTTTTAACTCTTCACTATTATATATTTTATATATATTTTTTAAATCCATATCTGTGACCATTTTCCTATATTCTTTTTGTTGCTGTAAACACCAGAATTTCCCCTTTGTGGGACAATAAGGGATTTTCTATTCTATACTATTCTAATGAGCCACCTCGTTAAACTCGTTAAGCTGCTAGCCCAGCAGGGGGCACCCTGGAGCCCTCAAATACTATGTATCTTGCACATTGTTTTGTTGTTGTTGTTAATTTATTGAAAAACAATCATCTTTAATTTAAAATGTATAGATATGGTCTCAGACTATTGCAAAGATATCTTCCTTCCGGTAAACTATTTGGTTTCTACTGACAATCTCTGTAAAGCAACTGATTTACATAGAGCTAATCTAAACTGCATACAGTAGTACTCAGATTTGAGTGTATTTCATTCAGATTTAATCTGAAATCTATTTAATGTAGCATGCCTTTATATTAAGGCATTTGTAGTCAGTAGCTGTAGATCCACTGTTAGCCAAATTTACATCCGAGTCATTTGTTTTTTATCTGAACCAGCTTCACCCAGTCTATGCAGCTAACAGCTAAAGCTCAGTCAGCTGGATAGAGATCATCTGCAGACATCAGTTTTCAGATCTTACCACGGATTCCTTTTTAGGTTGAATATTGATTGGGTCCAATAATGCATAGAAACATCTTGCTAGAATGGAAGCATCCACCCAATGTTCTCTGATCTTCATTCAGCCTCCTCCATTCTCCTGTCTACTGTGACCACATGGCTGCTTCCTAACTAAAAAATGCCCTCCTCAGTGTTGTTTTGATGATGCAGTTCACCATGGCGGTAGTGTTTTTAGGGGTTAGTGTTAGTTGTCGGCAACACACACTTTTTTTGCATGTTTGCCACCAATTTCTAGTTTGGTCTCATCTGGTTACCTTTAAACCGTTAAAAAGCAGGCTGCATTATGGTAACAAAGCTGCTTAAAGTTCATTATATTTTATAACATGACTGCATTGATACATAGTATCTATTGTTTCTTTAAACCTAGATATATGTTTTCAGACTGTATCAGACATTACAGTCTTTATGCTATTATTTTTATTTCTTTAGTAAACCTTAAAATCCGCCTACTTCTTCTTTAGGGTTTGGAGCCATTTTATTTGTCGCATTCTCCAACCTTTTTGTGGTTTGCCTAAAACGATCTTTAATGGGATGTTTTTATGAGGAAAAGTTTGTGTGCGTCCGACCTTGAATGAGGCTGCTTTGCTGCATTTTCACCTTATCCTTCACTCCCCACCCCCTCAGTTTCCATCGCGCCAAGCCTCAGCAATAACTGGCACGCTCCCCCTCTTCCTCTCCTCTCCGTCTTATTGATCTTTAATAAGCGTCCCTCCTCTCCTTTAACCTCATCCCCTCTTTCCATCAGGATTCCTGTAGGTATGCGCTCTGGGGGGACCATGGCAGTTTTTAATGGGTCTACAGAGGAGGTGGGGTTGGGTTTTTGTGGTTAACTGTTGTTTATGAGCAAAGTAAGGGGTGTGCTCGTGCTCTTTCTTGTTATCCCTAATCAGGTGGGCTGAGTTGATGCTTAAGGAATCAAAACTTTTTTTCTGTGTTTGTATGATCTGTGTTTACATCTCTGGGAAGCATGTTTGTACTTTTCTTCTCTGCATCCTCGTTCCTGCCTCTGAGCTCATGTTGTCCTCTTGTATGGTGGTATGAAGGGGAGGGAGACCTCCTTAGTCCTGAGGCAGAATAATGAAAGTAAATGGATCCCAGATGGACTGCTTTTCCTCTCTCTCTCTTTCTCCCCGCGTTCAATGACGTGAGGAGAGTGACAAGCCTCTAATGGGAAACAGACCCGTACGCCGCGGCTTTGAACTTCACAGACGTCGAGCCTCCTTTCACCTCTTAGGACCGACTCGCTCATTTCCCTAACAACAACAGCATTGAGGGAATGTGCATCTGCTTGAGGTCCAGGCGTAACGTCGGCCATGAGAACTGACAGCTCGGTGAAGCGGCCTGTTTTACCTGAGGCACGGCGGCTCGTCCCACAGAGAAACAATAGCACTTTGCAGACGCTGTTTGAGCTGCTGAGTTTGGGATCTCCCACAGTTTGTGTCACTTGTCAACTTAACGATTCTTTAGATTGGATCATAAATATTTATCTTCATAAGTCTGTCAGCTGAAATGCTGATGATGTCAGACGACATCGCTGGATACATTCATCTATCCACTGCATCATTACATACTATTGAAATGACTCCTACAGTAGATCAAGATGCTCTTTCAATAAAAAAACTTGCTACATTAAAGGGGCTGTTGCAAATGATAGCTCTTTAAATTCGCTTTTTCCTCGTTTAATTTTCCTCCGTTTGTCTTTGTGAATACCAGGATGTTTGAAATGTTAATTAAAATACAGCAGTAGTGACTCTTCAATTTGAAACATGGTGGACAAGCGACAGCTTCCACTCACTAATGGTCAATGGCTGGTTATATAGCACTTTTTCTAGTCAAGAGACTTGACCAAAGTGCTTTCAGGTATTCAGTTGTTAACGCACACATTTATGGTAGCAAGCTACATTATAGCCACGGCTGCCCTGGGTCTCACTGACAGAAGCAAACACAGGCGCCACCGGGCCGTCTGAACGCCATCAGTTGGCAATTAGGGTGACGTGTCTTGCCCAAGGACAGATTTGAAAGCCAGAGCCAAGGCTTGAACCGACAACACCCCTGTCACAGGGCAAAAATGAACTGATAAATAAAGCAAAATCTGGGCAAAATGAAATAGGCGTTTTTTTTTTTTTTTTTGTGGATCACACAGATTTTGGAAAAATTGTAAACGGCTTAACTTCCTTATGCGGTGTGGTGTTGTAAGCTTGCAGCTTGTGCTGTATGCAACCCTTCTTTTATTTGAAAAGGTTGATTGTTATAATCATTGCTTTTAGGAACTTCTACAGTAAATCATTGGAGTTACGCTGGAGAAGCCCTTTTTACTCCCGAGTTCTCAAAATTCTTGAACTTTCTTATATTTGGTGGTGCTCCGATCACAAGCTTAATTCATTTTTTAGGCTTTCCCTGGGATAGAACTAGGCTGGGTAATGCATAATCGTGGTGTCCCGTTTATGCATTAGGATCTCTGATAGGCTGATGACCTAGCCAGGATAGTAATGCATTTTTGGAAGAAAGATATATTTGCTTTCTAGATGTTTTGTAAAAACCATAGTTTGCATTCTGATTTAGATCTCAATTAGCATGTTGAAAAAAATCCCATTTTGCTGCAACTTCAACCTTAATAGGAAAGAAATGCATCTCCACAGCATGATGCCACCAGGACCATGCTTCACCATGAGGATCCTGTTTATTCTAAAATCCAGTTAGTTATTTCTGAAAACCTTTCTTTTGCATTTTTAATATCTTTCCAAAATGGTTTCCTCTTGCCTCGCCACCAATAGAATACACAATTAAGTGTTCGGATAGCTAGGTTTTGTAAACAGATTTGTTCTCAGTTCAAATGAGCTACAAAGTCTTGAATTTAGTAATGAAATGGTTTCTAAAGGGGAAAAAAGGTTGGACTAGATTTTATTAAAGGGTATCAGTGTAAAGAGAGCTGGTTACAAGTTACTAGATTCCTGTTTCCACTTCAAACTTTTACCCTGCTTCTTTATGCACCATAAAACCTGAAAGAAAAACTGAGTATTGTGTTCATCATGTCAGAAAAATGTAGTACTGCTCTTTAGTGCTACAATTGCATGATTCATATAATATGATTAAAGCTCAGTTATTATACATGAGGAGGAAAATTACTACCTTTCCCAATGAAAGTTCCACAAATCAGCTTGGATAAGAAAATATTTTATTGACTTTCTACTTATTGATAAAACTCTGCTGCTACAAATTCCTTGAAAAGAGTTTTGATTTAAGAGCAGTTCTTAAAGTCCTTTTGCGAGGTTGATCATGTAATCCTCATGCAGTGAAACGTCATGGATTGTCTGCTTCTGTCCCTGCAGGTCTGTGGTGATGCCCATTGCCCAGGAGTTCTCTCCAGATGTGGTTCTGGTGTCGGCTGGGTTCGACGCCGCTGAGGGAAACCCTGCTCCGCTGGGAGGCTACAAAGTCTCTGCCAAATGTAAGCAAAGTTCTCTATCACAGGTCTTACTTTTACTTCAAAACATAGTTAAATCAACTTAGTATTTTAGCAACCTTCGGGACGAAACTGATACTTCCTGTCAAGTCTGGATGCAGCAGCAGAATCGTACTTTATTGTTTTGTAGTTATTTTTTAGCAGCTTTGTTGGTTTTCCATCCTTTTTAAAGCATATATTTAAAAATGAACTGAGAAACTGGTACTATTAACTAAACAAGTCATTGCTAAACATAAAAGCACTGAGCAGGGTGTACTTTCTACGAAGATCCAAAGGAATACAACAAGTTCATAGCAGCTGTTACAGTTTGAATACGATTTTTGTAAGTCTTTGTTTTGCATATGCGGCTCCCCCCCTACTGATATATTTTTTAAGCTTTATAATTAGACGTTGTTTATATGAATATTTTTCACAGGTTTTGGCTTCCTGACCCGCCAGCTCATGTCTCTTGCTGGAGGCCGTCTAATTTTGTCCCTTGAGGGAGGTCATGACCTCACAGCTATCTGTGACGCATCTGAAGCCTGTGTCAGTGCTTTGCTGGGCATACAGGTAAGGCATTCTGGGTAATGGAGTTCTTTAACAAATATTTGTTTCCAAAAACAGATTAAGTTAAAGTTTCTATTGATAAACTCAATGCTATACACTAAAAGGTGTTTTTTTTTTGCCTTGGTTCTGTGTGTCTCCTGCAGGAAACGATGCCAGAGGAAATTCTCCTTCAGAAACCCAACGCCAACGCAGTGCGTTCCCTGCAGACTGTCATAGAGATACAAAGTAAGCAGAAAAAAAGCACTTGAACTCATCCTCTCTCTGCCTTATTCGTGCACTCGCAATTACCAGCTGCCTTTTAGGATATACAGCAGAGCTCCTTTTTGATCTGGGGGATGAATTAGCACTGATGAGATTTGTGTGTGTGCCGCAGGTCAGTTCTGGCAGAGCGTGAAGTCCCAGAGTGGGTTGGTGGGCCTGTCGTACATGGCCGCTCAGAGTAAAGACTGCGAGGAAACAGATGCTGTAAACGCTTTGGCCTCACTCTCAGTGGGAGTTATAACCAACAAAAGGTACAGCTTCTCTACCTCATGAACCCAACATGCATACAGCTTCATGGTAATAACAAGCGTCACTTTCCTCCAGGACCCTGGATGAGCCGATGGATGATGACAGCGACTCCATGTAGGAGAACCTATATAAGTCCCCTTTTCAGAAGTGATCCTCACCAGACAGGATGTCCTGACGCTGTCATTTATTTTGCAATGCCACTGAGCCCCCCCCCCCACCCCCCACCAGTTAGCCTTCCTCACTCCAGTCCACAAGCCGCCACACGATGCCGAACCTCAAACCTGGGAACCACTTGTAGCACTACCAGCAGCTGAGAAACCTCGGGAACCTCACCAAAGAGCAATACAAGTCCACTCTAACAGACTCCTCATCTCTTCTTACTGACATCCATACAAACAAACTTATGATGGAAGAACATAGAGAGGCGCACGGAGATCCTTGAAGCACTGTGCACCAGCAGCTGATTTAATGCCTTAACTTCCTGTCGTTGTAAAGCCCACCATCAGGTTTCATGGCGAGGAGACTTTGACTGATAAACTCTCTGCTCCTCTGCCGCTTCGCCTCAGGTGTCCGGGCTGAAGCAAAAGCTGACCAAACAGGATACTAAACATACCTACTGTGTGACATCAGGCGAAAGCTCATATGGTCGACGGATAAACACGCAATAATATGACAAAGAAGGAAGAATAGAACAATGAGAAGTAGAGACAGTTTAACCACTAGACCATGACAGTAAAGAACTCAAGGAGAGGAGTGAATGAAGACACAACATGGACAACTGTAGTTTTTCTTTTTTTTTCTTTTTTTTAAAAAAAAGGACAATAGTCCTTTGTTGTTTTATTGCACTGTTCATTCCTTAATGTGAACCATAAGAAATTCCAAAGCTCTGGGATCACACAATTCCTCTTTGAGGTTTATTTTTTCCAAGATCCGGATAAAATAGTGTTTGTTATGTTTTTCCGACTCTCATTTTGTTTCCTACTCAGTCTTTCAGTGCCGACCGAAATACTGTAGAGTTGTATTTTCTGCGAGCTAAACCATAACAGTAGGCGAGATTATTTTTTTCCCACTGCTGTTCAGTGTCTTATTCTGTCTTGCATAGAGACATAAAACTCATTCCGACGTGTACAAATCAAAGATGAACTATTATTGTACCACTAGTATTGAATGCTATATGTTAATGTTTATTTTTAAAGACTAAAGGCGTGATCATTCCACCCTGGCACCACTGAAGACCATCGTATTGTTCTAATCACGCAGTACTGTTGATGCACTTAACACGACTAGAGATGCACCAATCAGATTTCTGTGGCTAAAGTCCAATCTCTTTTCTAAAGCTTTCTTCTTCTTTAGCTTAATAACGATAATTTGAATATTTCTCATTAATATAAAGGCAAACTCAGCTAACATGACAGCTAAAAATTCACAAAAGCAAACAACCGAGAAAATTAAAAGTAAAGTCTCAAAAACAGACTTATTTCTAAAGAATAATGACATGCAATAAGGAGACATAGACTTTATTAGTTAGAAAGGATCCCTGCTTTATATCAAACCTCTGCAGGTTAACAGGTTTCGTTTGGTTTTCCATTACCAGTTTTGTTCAATTCATGTTCAAATCTCTTTTAACAAGTATAAATAAAACTTAGTGGGTAGGAAGATTTTAAAGTCAATGAAATTAGTTTCATTACCACCACCATAGTTGTAGTAATTTTAAGAGCTTCCAATTATTTCCAGATTGGGATTAAGATGTTGCTGCAGGAATATCTTCTAAAAAAAAATGTATATATTTATTATACAAAATTATATGCAAAAATTCAGTGCTTATTAAACAAAACCTGAATGAGGAAGCCTGGGACTGCTTCAGTTTGCATACAGATAGGATTTTGATTGAATGATAAATACTACACACTTTTAGCCTTAAGATAGTCCAGCCTGTAATTAAAAATGCTTGTTTTGAGTATGGGCTAAGCACTGGTGTAGTGAAAAGCACTGCTGCCTTGCAGCAAGAAGGTTCTGCGTTCGATTCCTATTCCCTTTCTGCATGGAGTTTGCATGTTCTCCATGAGCATGCATGAGTTCTCTTCCTCCCACAGTCCAAAAACATGACTGTTAGGTTGAATCTCTAACTTCTCCGTGTGAATGGTTGTTTGTCTCTGTTTTGCTCTGTGATGAACTAGCGACCTGTCCAGGGTGTACCCTGCCTCTTGCCCGTAGACAGCTGGAGATAGGCACCAGCACACCTTAGGATAAGCATGATAGAAAATGAATGGATTGATGTTTTAAACTTTATTGCTGCAATATTATAAAGATGACATCACACTGGCCAGAGATAGAAAGAGAGAAAGCTCTCACAAAAATATAGGGTTTTACTATTTTAAGGCAAAGGAGAAAAAAAAATTCCATAAACACTGATATTAAGCTGTATTTAGCATCATGTATTAAACATCAGCCATTGCTAAAACATCTGTTAGCAGAGAGCCTAGAGCTTTTAGTGCTTCTAATTTCCTCAATTTCCAACAGCTCAGTGGAGGTTTGTAACTTTAGGGTTTCTTATCTGTTCCTGGAAGCCGCGGTGGGTCGATTTAGCTGAAATTAGGACCATGCGGTCACAAGCTGATTCCTTGGTGCATCTCTAAACACGACCCAAAGAAATCTGCCTTAAAGCAACTTAATCCTTGCAAAGGGACTACTTCACGTATGCAGTCTTTTCTAAACTGTTCACTGTTGAATACAATGACTCAGTCTGTCCGGAATGTGTGTTTTTTTTTTGTTTGTTTTTTTTTTTTTACATATTTTGAACAATGAGTCCAGTTTTAATTAAAGAAACAGGTTTTGTTTGTTAAAGAGAAAAACTGTGGAATTACCGTACCCATGGAAGAATCTTTCAAAGTGCTCTACGGTTGAACACAGAGGCTGATGCGATTCGGGCATCCTACGCTTCCGTTCAGTACTCTGCATTCCAGACCTAAAGAAACAAGATTGTGTTTTTTGTTTGGTTTTTTTTCTGTTGTCTGTTAAAATGGAGAAAATTAGTTCTCTGCATCCTATGTAAGACAGGGGCTGGATGAAAAGTACTTAAGTTGTTTTAGACGAGAGCTGAGGTTGGCTGAGAGTCATTTCTAGAATGGTTCAAACTTCTAAAAGCGTAAGCTTCTAGACGATAAACTCCTAAATCTCAAACTAAAACAAATCTGGCTGGATAGTTTCCTTTTCTCTTTGAAATTCAAATCTTTTAAGCCTCGAAATTTGACAGTATAGTCAAAACTCCTGTGTTTTAGCGACAGAAGAGATTGCACAGAATGAAATATCAGTCTGAATCTTTGCCATCCTTTTTTGTAATCAAACTCTGCAGATCATCTTCCAGCAGAATCCTTTTTTCCCCTTAAACAAGGGCAGTGTTTCCACATGTTGTGGATCTCAGCGCTGGGAAGTTTGCGCTTTTTTTGCAGAACCAAGACATGTGTCTTTGCATACAGCCCCACGGCTCTATAATAGCAGCCTTGCTGGAGTTTATCCCTAATTTTCACAGCAGGAGATGTCAGCAGTGAAACAGAACGCTGCATAAGTCTCATATAGCACGGCCAGCAGCTGCTTGTCGTCTAGTAGGTAAATGTCGACCTGCGTGATGCATTCAAGCAGGGCTTGTTTGGTGATTGCATGTGCACTCCTGTCATGTGTTTTGTGCATGCGTTTCCAAGTATTAAAATGTCTGAGTGTGTCCGTCAAATACTGTAAATGACCTCTGTATTATAGTCTTCTCATATTTGTCTTATCAAGAGGTCAGTTCTGCCTCAGTTCTTAATTCCTTTCCTTACTGATGTAATTTGTACATTCTTCTTAAAGAAAGAGGTTGTAAATAGATACCCGGAGACCAAAATACACGTCACACGTGTGCCTTGATGCATTTAGTAGCATGTGTATTGGTAGTTTTTAACTAACTGGACTTACAGTAACTTTGTATCTGAAAACATGACATTGAAATATCGGTTTCATTCTTACCTAACTTGTATTTTCATTCACGTTTCCTACCATGTGTATGTATAGAAAGATTGTCTATTTTGTACTTTTTTGCCTTTTTCTTCTTGATTAAAAGAAAAAAATCTCTGCTCTAAAGCTTCTGTCTTTCCTGTAAAGATGTTTGTTATATTTGGCATATGGATTTATTTGGTGCTCCAAACCACAGTCGGTTTTTTAAATTGAGTTTTAGAAAATACAAATTCTCATTTACATCCTTTTAACTTTTTCGAATGTTTTCATTTTACAACTTGACATATTTTCTATTGGCAGACTACTGTATGTGAAAGCCAACAGAAAGTGGTTTTATTGCAGAACAGAATGAATAGATGGTTTTAGATCTTTAATGCAGAAATGTTTTTAAAAAATGTTCAAATTGGAGCATGGTAATGAGTTGAGTCCCTTCTGTTCAGATAATGATAATAAAAACTTCAAAGATTTCCCCTCCGTTCCCCCAATTAGTTGCTATTGTTTAACCAAAATTCAGTATACAGTAGCAGCCATTCAAAATAGCCCTCCCAGATAAATGCCAGCCGAATGGCAGCCCACTTCCCTGCAACTGCCAGCAAAATCCCCTCCAACTTCCAGCCACCGGAGCGACCCCCTCCTTCTCCTGGGTGGGCTTTGTTTTTATACTGTAAAAGTTCAAAAAATATCCACTGGACTTTGTTTCCAAGATTTGAAGACGTTTCGAAACCTCTCCAGGAAGCTTCAAATCTTGGAAACCAAGTCCAGTGGATATTTTGAACTTTTACGGAATGACCATGACCTGGATGACTGGGAATCTTCATCGGCTTTGTTTTAACTCTGACTCCACCCTTTCGTTGAATTACAGGGTCTGGCCAGGTGATAACGCTTCTCTTTAGATCTTAATGTCCACAAATCATGACATAAAGAATATTTTAGTACAAATATTGATGTTTAAAGAGGTATTATCAGGGACCAGATAAGGACCAACCAAGGGCCCATCAAGGAAAGTGGGAAAATGTTAAATAGTACATGTCTTCCTGCAGCCATGAGGCCCACTGACTGATTACAAAATAATAGAAATGTAATGCTAACTTTTGAGGATCATTTTGAGTTTTTCTCTCATCAAAGGAGGGATACCAAAATATTTTTCCATATGTGTATTAGTGATGCTCTGCACAAATCTGGCCATTATGGTAGATTGATCAAGTTTGCCACACAGACATGTGGCGTATCGTTCTCTTGTCAAATCTACATAACAAACCCTATAAGTGATAGAAAAATATCACTGCACACCATCTTTAAAACATCGTCAGGGTGACATATGGTAGATGATGAAATAAATCAACCTAAAATAAGAAACAGGGATTCAACTTTGTTTAGTCTTTTTAGTCAAGAGGTTGAGCTACATTGCTTCATGTAAATGACTTGTAACAAGTCTTTCCATGACTCAATCCATCCGACGTAGCCCAGGTTATTTCAGAAAAAGGTGTTAGTCTGTAGATGAATAAAGCTGCTGTGTAACATATGTTTGGTCTACGCAGTGTTGACTCATTGGGGGCTAATATAAATAGATGTTTTTAGATTTCATTTGGACAAGAAATACATGCAGTGTATCGTTTTCATTTGACTTTAAAATAACGCAGTACTTAGTGTTGCTGTGTCAAATAAACTCCTAATAACATCTGTAAGGCTACATCCACTTAAAGACAAAACAAATACAGTAAATTCAGAAACCTTCAGTGTAAGCCGGAGCCAGTGCAGTAAAATGTGTGCTTGCATCCCACATATGGGCTTCATGCAATGCATGATGAATCTAAA